TAGCGCAAGCGACAAAATTCGTAACTTTGCGATCCGACAAATCGTGTCGATTAAAGTTACAGAATTGCACTGCAGGGGTCATTATAATTTACAAAAACCCATAATACACGAGTGGAGCGAAGTGCGTACTGCCATTCGGTAGCCCCTCGGCCGGGAATGCCAACCCCTCCGACTGTATTCATGGTATCAGTCATGCAGCAGAACAGAACAGAATCACGTTAAGGTTTTTCCAGGACTTGGGTTAACACGATGTAATTTAATAATAATTGATTTGTTCCAATGGCTTAATGGTGCTGATGCTTATTCCCACAGGCTTATCCTTTTAATCTGCTAAATTCCAGAACTTTGATCCTAAAAATAAGTTTTGCCACTTTCTTTAGAAGACCCGCCTGCTGTAGTCCACTCGCAGGAATTAAAAGACTTTCCAATAAGAGCGGAAAACCTGGCAGAGATGGTTCGTAGAACTAAAAAAATTTCGGTCGTCGTAAAGCACCTTGTCGGACTGCAATACAGAAATTGGTGGAAAATGGAGCTGTTGGTACAAGTTGGTGATGTGAAGAATAAAACACTCAAAATACTGGTGTAGTAGCCCAAAGTGTTGAACAACCCCCGGATTAGTCAATTCTTCGTCGTTCTTCGGAATTGGACATACCATATTTTTCATAAAAACTTTGTGTCTTTGCTAATTGGGTCCTTGAAATGCATGGAAATTATCCAGAATTACATTGAAAAATCATCTTACTGATGAGGTCTTTCCCCCTCGATGGCTGTGGCATATGGGGCACGGAAAACCCAATATCTATTGTTGTTCTCTATTCTCAAAATGTAACTGTTTGGTGCGGTTTATAGTCTGACGAGGTCATTCGACCTTACTTTTTTGGAAATGAGACTCAAGCAACAGTCACGATGAATGGATTGCGCTATTGTGAAATGATTAATGAGAGATAAGGAATTGGGCAGAGTAGATCTGCACAAAGTTTACTTTCAAAAACACGGCGCCACGTACCGTTCTTTTAAAACGAAATTTCCAGACAGTGTTATCTCTCGAAGAGATGATCGCAATTCGCCACAGAGATCTTATAAATTAACACCTCGCCACTTCTTCCTTTGGGACCACGTCAAAGATTAGGTCTACACCAAAAGGCCCACGACGATTCCAGTACGCAAAGATGGAATTTCTGGAGCTGTCGAGGACATTTTTCAGCCAATTCGTGATTTGGTGTTGGAAAATTTCATAAAAAAGATACGGTCTTGTAAGAGTAGCGGTGGCGATCATTTGGCGTTTCCCTCCTTCCTTCTTTCCTTTATTTACGGTGTATCTTTCCTTTTCAAAGTTATGTGGCGTTAGTTCGAAAATTCCGTGAACCAGCTATTTGTTGTTTTTTACTGGAATATATATTCAGGTGAGGATTACGGTTGGAACTAACTCCGAGAACTAACTTGCCTAGGAAGAATTTTAAGCAATAGAAAATACTAGACAATCTGAGACTACTACTTATCTAACTTAAACTAGTTCGGAAAGTGTCTTAAATGCACAAGTAAATCTAGATACTACCCCGAAAGGTCTCTGGACGCATATCGCCAACTAATCGTACGAACGGTCGACGGAAAGTGAAATGAAATTGCAGCTCGAGGATATTTCTCTAAAATCATGTTTAAAAATCCCTGTGTCTTGTCTGACAGGATCGTTGGTATATGAGTATAAACACTTTTTTTTTTTTGGAAATATGGCAACATTGCATTACTATGGACTTCAGCCACTTACAAATAGAGTCGCAGTGGCTTACGACTTTTAGTTCTGTTGATTTTACAAAACGAACAAAAATCAAAATATACGCAAGAAAGTTTATAAGTCTCTATATACATACATACGTACCAAAATGTATGAACAAATATATATGTACGGATTGTTGTACATAAGTTTATTTGACACGTTTATGCCACTTGGCATCCTACTGTCTTGTCAGCCTGATGGCATTCCTTGATGTGGCAGGGTTGAGTTGCCCGATGGTTTCGCAGAAATTTTACTTTCTCTCACTCAACTGTTTTTTCGGGTTGCTTTTTGTTTACAATTTTCATTCTTCACTTGCATATTTGTTTATGTTACAGAGGTATGTACATACATACATAGGTAAAGGTTTATCAATTTGTGTGCGTTGTACAACACATAGATAGTAAGGAAGATGAGGGGTTTTGTTTCTGATTCTTATTCTTGTATTGATTAAATTAAATGCCGATGCACTGGTAGAAAGTGTTGTTTATATATTTAGTAAATGACGGACTCCTTTAATTGAAGATAATGGTTCAAATGCTGTTCACATAGGCATTTAATTAGCTAATTGAGAGCATTTCACTCTTAATTGCAATACAATTACTCTTATAAGAGCACAAACAACTTATCAGAAGAAATAACTAATTAGCAATAATTAGTTGTAAAAAAAATTACATAAGCAACTCTGTAAAGTATGTTAAATGAGTAAAGTATTGAGTCTACTCAGTGGGATTGACTGCCGAAGGAAGTGTTCCGTAATTAAAGAGATAAAAATACCTGCAGAACGGTGCAAAATCATAATGACGAGTGAATTTAAATAAAGTGTAGTATAAGGCGTGCGTAACCCAACGACGCAATTAAAAGCTCAATTGTCCCCGAAATAGATTTGTATGAATATTAACAAAGCTTCACTTTCATATCCTCATTACGGGTTTTAATCTACGTATACCATATAATAAGAGGCCTCACTTCTGATGACGACCACCTGGAGTATCTATTTAGTCAGCTGGTTAATTTTCTCCTAAAACTAAAGGCTGACATCATATCCGCCCAAGAAGTGCTATGGATGGGATATGAAGGACGTGAAAGGGCAGGTCCTTGTGACGGAGAGGCTCAGTCGCCGAGTCTGAGCCCGGTAGATGAAGGTGGTGCTAAAATTCGTATCAAAGAAAAGTTCTTCAACTTATCGCACATTTACGCACACGTCCCAACGGAAGTAAAGGTCGATGCGACCAAGAATGTCTTTCATAAGCGGCTGGAGCATGCTTATTAGAAATGCTGCCTGACCGATGTGAAAATTGTGCGTGCTGACTTTAAAGCGAGAGTATACAATGGAGGTATCTTTCGCAAGATAGAATAGATCTGCCAATACTCAACTATGAACAAGTTCGAATCGCAACCGCCCGACTCAAAAATAACAAAGCAGCGGTATCGATATATTGCCGGCCGAACTATTAAAATACGGCGACGAAGAACTGACAAGGTATGGGGAATTAGATTCTTTGCAGAATTTAATCAGATGAAAGTATCCACGACGATTGGAATCTGAGTGTACTCTGCCCAATCTATAAAAAGGTGGACCGCACAGGTTGCGCCAATTACGGTGTAGTAAGCCTCCTCAATATTGTATAAACTCTTATCGAACATATTGTATGGTAGGCTACAGCCTACCACCAAAAAAACTGATTGAATTTATCAGTGTGGCACTTTAGACACAGAAAACCTGAAGTAGAGCAAATATTCAGTAGGTGTCAAAAACTGAAAAATACCCGTAAAAAGAGGCTCGACCACTTCTTCGATTGTAAAGTATTCTTTGGCAGCAAGAAAAAGAGCTGCTTCAATGCCACCATATGATATCTGCGGAAAACTTATACAGCTCTGTAAACTGCCTAAAAGCTTCGCCCGGATCATGAAGGTACCATACGAGCCGTTGGTCCTTATAGTGTAACTTATTTAATTTATTGCTGGAGAAAATAATACAACCGCTGGCGTATGCCAATGGTCCCAGCAATTGCACCGTAAGCTCTGTTTTCGCCAAACTAGATAAGGACAGGAAATCCTTTATCTCCTTTCATCAAACAAACAGTCATCACATTTTCGATTCGGCTTCCATGCCACTGTTGACAGTCATAACTGCGAAGTCGTATATAATTTCGTCTATCTAGGAACCAGCATCAATATCAACAATAATGTTAGCCTTGAAATCCAATGCAGAATCACTCTTTCCAACAGGTGCTACTGTAGACTGAGTAGGTAAATGAAAAGTAAAGTCCTCTTCCAACGAACGAAAGCCACTCTACAAGTCGCTCAACATGCTGCTTATGGTGCGGAGGTATAGGCTAGACTGATATCTGATGAGTAGGCGTTAGGACTTTTTGAGAGAAAGGTTTTGCGTAAGGTTTATGGTCCTTTTCGAGTTATGAATGGCCGCTGTGCGAGATATACGGCGACATTGATGGTTAGGTTATGTGGCTCGGTTGGATAAGAATACTCCAGCTTTGAAAGTTTTTCGATGCAGTCACCGCCGGTGGGGGAATTAAAGTAGCAAAACCTCCAATGCGTTAAAAAGACCAGCTGGAGAAGAATCTGGATTTAATTACATTTTTGTTTTAAATTTTTCTACTCGATTGTTTTTACTTAAGCGGCAGTTATTTTCCTCAATGCTTGAATTTCTTCTCTTATTCACTTGACTTCTCGGCAAATCTTACACCTTTTTAATTCTTTGGCGAAATCAACTCTTGAAACTTTGCAACCATTGCTACTGACACTTGGCATTTGTTGTGTAGATTGCTTTGGTAAGCGTAAACCAAAAAAAAAAAAAAAAAAAAAACATAAAAATAAAACTTGAAATAACGGATGATTTTTCAAAGCTGGACATTCTTCTGTCTCCATTTTCATTTCAGGGTAATTGTGAACAAAAGCGAATATTAAGTATTTTACTTGAATTCACTTGAAAACTTCTAAGAAAGAGAAGTTGCAAGTCAGACTGTAAATTGTTGTTTTGAAAATATTTTATATACTTACACATATACGAGTATATCCTTGCCGAACAATTTTTTCTTTTCGAATAGAATTTTTCTTAGGCATGCCATAAATACTTAAACATACATACATAAGTATATTTTTCCATAAAATATTTTCACATTACGTCATATAAATGTTTCCATTAAATTTTACTGCAAAAATAAAAACTGTGAAAATATCTATTCCTTTTAATTTTAGAGTGCCCTCAGATCGCAAAAAGGACCACATCAAACGTCCGATGAATGCATTTATGGTTTGGGCACAAGCAGCGCGTCGTGTCATGTCCAAGCAGTATCCACATTTACAAAACTCAGAGCTGAGTAAATCACTAGGCAAATTATGGAAGTAAGTATATACATATATAACGGCAAAGAAAGAATGTTAAGGCTAAGTTAAAGCAATGCGAGAGTATTAAAAAAGAGCTTAATTTATAATGGGTTAAATAAAAGATGGCCCGAGCTCGAGTCCTGCTTTGACCAACATCCGAAATGCGAGGAATGGTTCAGCTAACTCGTCTACACTTTCCTCAACTCTCTTTTGGTGCCTTGCATCTTTGGGGTCTGAACAACTTTTATGGCAAACGATGAGCTCGTGGTAGCACGGAGACCTGAGTAGTACCAAGTAAAATCCGGTTATTGTAGTGAACTAAATTAATACTATTCCATACTCGTTCACGACAAACCCTACATATTTATGAAATGCAGTCACACATATGAAATGAAATAAGTCACACATACGAAACTATCCACTTTAGGTGGAGACTACTCTGCACGATGCTGGAAAGCTTTTGGTTTGTATGAATTGAAAAACCAATGAACGAAACTATTTTTTTAATACTCGAACTGATGGCTCTTGACTCTTGACTAATGCAGAATTTCCAGTATAAGAAAAAAAACCAAGCGGATATTCAGGCAAATCTAATTACAAACATGTCCACTTACATAAGGTTACTACAAAATGCTAGTCTCTAGCAAATCGCATAGAACTGGGTGTTGTTTTCAGATATTTGTTATTATGTTTTAAAATTATTTCGTCTTCGACTGGTTCGATTAAATTCCAGCCGAGAGGTTAAATTTTCTACCACCGGCACCGCTTGGGCAACGTCAGCAAATAACGTGTCGAATATTCTCTTCCACCGCGTTAATCGTATTGGTAGGAACTTCACAACCACATAAAAATAGCCAGCAGCGTTAAATCGCAGGACCTTGGAGGCCATAACACCGGCCTTCGATTCGAGATAATTGTTTCGTTAAGATAGCGCCATATTGAACCGACCGAAACCAAAAACTGTTCAAATCAATTCAGGCACGATAAAGCCATTAATCTTGGCTCACAGCGTCCCCATTGACTGTAACGTTCCTTCTGCTCATAGAGCGCATTAAACAATGATTTTTTAAATATTTAGCGGAGTCTGATCAATGGCAATCACCTAACGTACCAAGCACTTGAAAGTCGTTCGGTTACAATTCTTGCACGAGTGGGATTTTGTACGCTAGCAAACCAATATGCTTCTAAAAAGTCTTCCACAAAGTGGATGGGTACAGCTCCAATTGTTGCCCGTGATGGCGGATGCACTCATTCAGATCTTCTACGATACTCTGTTCCCTACTGTACGACATCTGTTAGAGAAAACGTGGTGGGAAACTGATTTTTGGTTGGTCGAACTGCCGACTCTGCTGTGCGATTATGTCGATCGAATACTGGATGCAGCTGTGAGGAGTCGCGCGAGCCGAACCTTTATTTAGGTAATAAATATTCATGATTTGATTACACTTTTACGAAGTAAATCTCTGAGTAGAAATTAAGTGATAGATGTCAAAAAGATCAAGTCCGAATAATATATTGTCTACTTGAAAATCAGACGTCTAATAGAACACCTTTCAGTTACTTTCTTCTTTAAGTGATGAGCTGGGTGTAGTGTAATATGAAATAATTTGATATATAAAACAACAATCTATGGGATGATCAGAAAAGCTTTTAACAGAGTGAATAAAAAACTAAAGAAAAATGTGCGTTCGTGAAAGCGAAACTGCAGGATATGTTGTACTGCTGATGAACAAAAAAATTGAGAAAAATCTGCGTGACCGATAAAAATGTGGTGAAACAGCTGTTAAGTTGTTCGCTTGTTGTTCAAGTGGAAGTGCGCCTTGAGGCGATACTAAAGTTTCAATTGACTGACTATTTTCCATTTGATTGCTTAAATATTGCGTACATGTAGAGTGTTGGTCTACGTTTTGCTTGTCACTAATACTTTCATGATGCAGTGACACTAACTAGTTGTGAACTAGTATAATATTATATAATGCTAGCAGCTTAAGCTCACCAGCTCAGTAACTCAAATTACACTATTTTCACTAGTTCATTTATGTATGTTGAAATACCACTTGATTATAAGTGAGTTATATCTTGTAATGTAAGGAACTGTTATCAAACACCACAACCAACTGGTATACTTTTACCCATTAAATACCAGCGATGTACTTGAATTTTTCATACCAGTTTGACTTTATACTAGCAGGTATATGCAAGAAAAATTGATGAAGCTGCTTTAGCAGTGAAAACCAATTACAAGCTGTGCAAAAAATGTAATTACTTGCTTTTATATATCTATGTTATGCAATTGGTTTTGTTGAGTTTCGATGATTTTTAATTTGGCAGAGTATTTGAGTATAATTCTGAGCAGTGTTTACATTGACAAATTGAAAAATTCACATTCATTTTGTGAGCTATTTTCAAGTATTCGGCCAAGGGAAACTTGAAGAAATAAGAAGCTGGAAAATTGCTAGCGATTAACAAAGGACAATTGGTCTGTTTGAAAGTTAGGAAATTACATTTCAATGGATTACTTTTGGTTGGTTGGTTGGTGGAAAGAGGAGTTTAAGGACCTGACCGCAAATGGCCGCTCCCAAGCCATTGACTAGGCTTATTGTATGCCAACTAAGATTTGGATCGATTTTATGAAGTGTTTTAAAATCTTCCACCCAAGTGTGCCCACCTTCGTGTGTTTCGTCATTTTCTAGACTCAATTGCTTTGATGGTACAATACATTCTACTTTCATAAGTATGCCTCGAAGCTCCACAGCTTTAGGTAAAATTCCGAGAAGCTGAAAGGTCTGAGGTTGGCGATTTTGGCATCCATCCGGCAGAAGATTTAGCACGTGCTCTGATATAATCTTAAGTATGCTGCATTGTGCTTCATAGTTAGGCAACTGTACCTAACTGTTTGGGTCTTTAAGACGGCTAGCTGATAGCGCTACTACATACATCACTTGTCAACTGATTAGCTTGATGTCGATGATGACATCCAGGAACTTACTGATGTAGTCCTCAAACGGTCATTATGCCAACTAGCAATGTGTGATGAAGCTGTTAGAGATATACATAGTTATATAGAGATATATTTGTTAAGTCATTTCTTTGTAATGCGCTAGTTTGGTATTGGTTTCACAACAATTTTTCAAAGTCAATGCTCCATTTCAAGTTACAGCCGTTTGGTTTCCCAAGCCCTTCTTACAATACGTTCCTGTCAGTTAAGTTTTTTATTAAGTTTGACTTATTTGACTGTATTGGAGGGCATTACAATGTTACCTCTTAGTGGTGGCGGGTTAAAATAGTGAACTTTTGTCTTTCTCAGACCTCAGATTCTCGTATTCTTGTCTCTAAGCTCAATCAGCTGCGTTTAAATTGCTCTCTCTATTACCCAAGATAGTCGGTTCAAGTATGATGTTTTTCTAAGTTGTCCGCTGAAAAAAGTTTTAGTAATTGGTCCCTTTTGGTGGGCTACATGCGTTTGACGACGAGGATGTTTGTATTCTTAAAGCACCTACTGGCCAAATAAATGTCAAAAAGGTGTATCCTGGTTTACAACGGGTGGGCCATGAAGAATTTGCTTTTTAAATTGTTATAAACCAAAAAATAAGTGCTGTCTTCGGCCATGCTAGAGATAGAAACACAGATAGACAGAGACAGACAGAGACACAGAGACAGACAGAGACATACAGACAAACAAACAGATATAGTTAAGTCAACTCAGTTCATTATTCTTCTTCTTCAGGTACTTTTTGAAGTGCCTGCTGAAACCATATATCGTTCTTGTCATTTTCTTTAAATATTTTGAAAGAAGCAATATCTTATCATGGCACGGTAAAAATCGGCTTTAACGGCAACGGCAGCTCCTTCGTCATATTTGCAGAATAGTGGAACATTGATTAAAGATCGGTCCATATACCGTACTAAAGTCAATCGATGGGCATGCTTTGGCTTTTCCATAGTTTCTTGTTAGGGTATCCAGCAAGGTGAAATGAGAATTATCAGAAAGGATGATTCTTCGGCTAAGCAATCTTCAGTCAATTGAAAGAAGCGATGACCATGACGCTACAGAACAATAGGTCTTTAAAAGGCTTCATGTCTAGGTCTTCGTAGTAAATGCTGCAAACGCTATCGAGTTGATATTGATGGTTGTTCGATCACATTTTAAGTTACATCGCTAAACCTGCGTTGATACGTACACGAACCGTTTTGTTCGATAAAAAACCGGTTCGGCGAGTTCGCTGCATACAATTGATACACAAAGTGCGTAGAAGGCGAGCTATTTCGCATTCTTTCCACCCTTGGATATACTTAAAGGTTATCGAATTAATCGATTATTTAAGAAATTGCCAAATAATATCTAAAATTTATTTTGCTATTAATGCAAAATATATGTAATAAAAATATTTTTCAATATATTTCATTCAATACCAAAAACCTGGCTTGTTTGCGAAACTGTTAAATTTGATATTCTTTAAATCTCACAAATCAGGCTTTGAATTGAAAGAAGTCAATTTTTTGTTCGATAATAAATTTTCCCATCCAAGCGTAGATTATTTATATTCCGAAAATTTCATGGTTCATTGATAAAGTTTCGGAGATAAGCTTGTGCAGTCGCTTTTTACTTGATTCAACTCAACACATACGTGTGTACATACATATGTATATTGCGTACTGCTTATCAGCATTATAAGCTGAAAAATAACAATAAAAAAAGGAAAACAAATTGTCAGACTTATAACTCACAGAATTTTTTTTTATAAAAACTTTTTTTTTTGTTTATTTCATTTTCGCTTTAACGTTGTGAGTCGTGCAGCAGCTGGGCTATGACTGGTCGACACGCTTCATTGGCGATCAACACTCGCAGATCAATTATTTGAATTTTTTTGTAAATATAAATTGCAGTGTAAAAAATTAATGTTTGAATTGTTGAAAATATAACGACCCTTTGTTTTAAGTGCGCGAATACACTTTTTAAAAAATTCTCGTTAACTGTAAAAAACAGTTTGATTGAACATTTTCAGTAGTTGATTGATTGAATTTATGATGTATGGAATTCTTGGAAATATTTTTAAACGTTTAAAAGTTTTGACAGAAATAAACAATTCCTTGAAAAAATTAAAATTTGTTTATATAGGGTTATCCATTATGTAGTTTCAAATGTACAGGACTGTATTTTGAGATCTGTGAAACTAAACGGTTGAAAAAAATAAGTTTTGTCATAGTCAAAAAACAGGCATTCATGAAAATGGATCGGTTAACAATCGAATACTACAAAAATCATGATTCAAAGGTAGCCACGTTTCGTACTTTAAGAGACTCATAATTGTCCAACTATTCAAGAAAATGGTGAAATTTTTAAGGAATTTGAAGAGATTGGATCCGTACAGAAATTTCAAGGCCTGTGCGTCGTCGTTTTGCGAGTGAAATTAAAACCTAAGACGAGAGTGTGTATAATAATTCCCAAGAGCTGGGACTGTCTTACGGCACATTATGGCCCATTTTGCAGTTGGATTCAAACCTACATCTATACAAAGTATAGCTCACACAACAACTCAAGCCAGCTGACCATTCACAAGGCCATACCTACGTCCATTGGGTGCTTGAAAAATATTCAATGGACGGAGATTTTTTGAATAAAATTCTCTTCAGCGACGAGGCGCATTTCTTATTCGTTAACAAGCAAATTGTCACAATTTGGACTCCGAGAATCCACAAATAATTGAAGAGAGGCCACTACATCCAAATTAGCCACCCAGCTCATGCATTTTGATGACGTTGAACTTTTTTCTGTGAGACTACGCGAAAGACCGTGTTTATGTGTATAAACCTTTAACACCTGAGCAAATGGTGACCGTTCAATATGTGCCGAAAAATGTTCGAAAATAACCTCAAACGGATCGAAGTTTGGAAAACATTCGTGACGGCTATTCGTATCATGTTGTTTGTCACATATAATGCCAAGGTTCGAACTTTATAAAGCTCAATATGTGAACTATGAGCTAACTATATATTATTTTGAAAGAGCTTAAGAAGACTTATGATTAACCAATATTTTTTGTTATGCGTCGACAAAGGTATCGTTTCTTTAAATAGAGCTACGAGTTGCTGACTAAATATCTGTTGACGTTGAAAAGCTTTTCAGAATTTTTCCTATAAATACCCTGATGAGGAAAGTTTCCCCCATGATATATCATATTCAATTTCATATCTATCTAATTCACTTGACTTAACTTTACTTTTGAAAAATCTTTAAAAGTTTCTCAGCTCGATTCACTATTTAATGTATATACTATTTTCTCCCTTCTCTTCACACAGAAACCTCAAGGAATCGGATAAGAAGCCCTTCATGGAATTCGCTGAAAAGTTACGGCTCACACACAAACAAGAACATCCGGACTACAAATATCAGCCGCGACGTAAAAAGGCGCGCGCACTAACCGTCAGTGGCATACAATGCGATGAAGTATTGAGTGCTAGCGGAGCGAACCCACCAAGCACAACCACAAAAATGTCTAATGCAAATGTGTCTTCATCACAATTATCCACCGACTGTATATCCGGCACGACCCCGACGACGAAGGCCTGCAATGGAGGTCGGAAGGGAGTGAGCGCCGCAGCAACCACAAATCGCATTAATGGGCGCATAGTTAAACAGTCTTACAACAGCAGTGGTAACAGCAGCAAACTGGATGCCATCAGCGGTTACAATACGAACGGAAGTTTCCACAATGCCAACAATATTGGCACAATCACATGCGCCGCCGATATGCTGAATAGTGAAGCTTTTATTAATTCGCTGAATAGTGCTTGCGCTGCTTCGTTACAGAATGCGGCTAACGGTGGACTTATGCCTGAATTGGCAGGACTCGATTTTGTTGGGCAGCAGCAACACCAACAACAGCAAGCGCCACCCCGTTATGATTATGCGCGACCCATGGATTCACCCTGCTCAACGGCTAGCTCTATGCAATCGACCAGCGCCAGCACCTCCGCCGATGGACAGCCACTCACGCCGCCGGCAACACCTTACACACTGAATGGTGTCGGTGGTGGTCTATTAGCGGTCAGCTTAAATGGCAAGCGTACGCCGACGCAATTACATGCACCGCCACAAGCTCAACATCTATTGCGACCACTTGCTGAGTCTGCACCGACGGACGGAGCTGATGGTATCGGCTATGGTATACTGACAGATGGTGTTCGCGACTACATTTCACTGGATGATGGTAACTACAATGGGGGACTGCTGGATTTTCCACGCTCCACCAGCGAACTGTTAGCGGTAAATGAACTGACTTCGCCAAATTATCCAAGCACGACCTCAAGCGGTTTGAATGCTGCACGTATTTTTAATTTGGATGCCACATCGATTGAAAGCTATGGAAATTATACACCCCAGCAATACCTCAGCTACAATTGTGGCGCATCATCCACAACAGATATCTGCAATGCGCCGCATTCTATTGGCGTGCTGAATTACCTGGAGTCAACAACAGCGTCCACCTCAGCACCAGCGTTTACTGGAAACAGTAACAAAACTCTCGCCGCCTGTGCAATGAGAAAGTTTACACAAACACAACACAACTACTTACCTTCGACTTCATTGAGCTCCAGCGAAATTGACCCCAAGGAAATTGACCAATATCTCATGGATCAAGTGATGGTGCCACTCCCACAAACCGCCGCCTCACAAGTACCTCAGCATACAGCTTCCGTTGTGTCAACATCAAGTTCATCATCTTCCACCATTGAAGCTGCCGCAACCAGGGTTTTGTGCTCGACAATAACTAAAGCCCCACCAGCTACTACAACAATGTCGAGCAATAGTAGCAGCAACTCATGCATAACATCATTAGTTGGTGCGAAAGGAGAGAGCGGAACCGTGGGTAGTTGTAACTCAGGCAGTAATTCTGGGAAATCCTCTGCTGGCGTCGGCTCATTTCAACTGCTATACAAATCACAGCAACAAAATGAGATTTTAGAGTTGCAGCCGCTAAATCGAACATCCTCTACAACAATAACTACGTCGGTAGTAACGCCGCCGCCGATAGCAACGAATGGTATTTCCAGTAAATATAGTATAAACACTAGCAGCAACAGCAATAACAACCACAACAGTAACAACAACAACAGCAGCAACAATAATAGTGAGAGCAACGCCGGTAATTGCTTTTATAGTACGTCTGCTATTGACATGGACGCGACGTCGTTGTCACTCGGCTCAGGCTATCACCAGCAGTCGTATGGACAACAGCAGCAGCAACAACAACAACAACAGCACACAACCACACAGTCCTCATCACGTAATCAAGCGCAACATACAGAACATCAATCTCATCACCAGCAGCAGCAGCAGCAGCATCAGCAACAACAACACATTTGGGGTAGCTACGTTAGTCCGTAATCAGCTTTATTTGCTGCGCAACCAGCTGAGCCGCTTTCAACATCTGCTTATTTTCACCCTCTTCCCAACCGTGCCACCAGCTTTAGCTTCACCAGGCTTGCTGGCGTTTCGAAAAGATTTTCTTCCTCGAAGCTTGTACGAGTATGTGCTAATTGCTACGAGTACGTATGTATGTACGCATTTGTACCTACCTCGCTACCTACATGCGGTTTTCGCCACTTCAGCTTCGCATTTCGAAATTTTTCACATTTCAGTCGGTATTTTTGCTGCGGCTCAGAATTCTTAGGGCATTTGACCACCACCAATGAACTCGCTTCCTATTTCGCTTGATTGGTTGGATGTTCAATTTAACGTGTGAATTTCCAATTCTAACCTGTAAGACAATCCACGGTAATGCCACTTAAAGTCACTTAAGGACGAATAAATGATGAGCTCAACAGTGGTGGTAAGAGCCTCTTAGCTATGTGAATTCTTTAAGAGTTTGTCCCAATTTGCTTTTGTAAATTATGATATATGTATGTAATATTAAGTATTATATACAAACCACTATTTAAATTGTTGAAAATTGTAAGTTAAACTTCATTCATTAATTTTAGGCAGATTTTCATAAAATAATTGCAACTTTTAATATCACAAATATTTGCGAATGTACCAACCAACTCCTTTGCCTATATGACTTCAAAAATAATAGCCGCGTTCTTTGCCCCTCACTTAGAAGCGAACATTAGGTTTTTTTTTATCAGTTTGTATGAAACACATATACATATGTAAGTAGAGAGTGCTTTTTTCCTCAGAGATGCGACCAGTGCGTGCCAAATACGCTCTTGCTGCTGTCGAGCAGAGTATCCAAGGAGACCCGTATCAGTCCTTCCTCCATTTCGTGGAATAACTGTAGTTTTGCCCATTAATTTTAGATTTAGATTTTGCGCAAAGATCTTGGCTTGCGAGCTTACGAGACCCAACTCGTGCAAGCATTAAAGCCGAACGACCATAAAACGCGTCGCATTTTTGGTGGATGAGCCCAAAACGACTTTTCAAAATAAAAAAAAATAAAAAAAAATAAAAAAAAAAATGACAATAATAACTTCGTTCAGCGATGAAACTCCATGGATACTTTAAATTATCATCTTACATTTATATATTAAATTTAATTGATTCAGTTGGAGTGATGATAATCCCCAAAAGATCGTCGAGATGTGGTTGCAACTTCAAAAATACACTTTTTGGTTTGCTCAGTGGGTCCGTATGTCATCAAAATAAAGCCAGCCATAATGATACAAGTAATACGAACGCTATAGAGCCATGATTAATGACTCTTTTGTGCCTGAATTGGAAGATATTAAAATGGCTTTTGTTCTAGCAAGTCGGCGCTACATGGCATACAAATGACATAATCGTTTTGTAGGCCTATGGCGTAGCGTCCCAGACCATGCGATTTGTGCGGTTATGTGAAATCGTTTGTCCAGGCAGATCCATATACTTACGTTTTCGAACGGTTGATGGTTTCTTATGAGGAGCTTTTATTTCATATCAGATATACACTCGGAGTGCCTAACATTCCTTGCCGAGGGGCGACCGCAATTTGAAATCTTAATCTAATATAGGATCTAAGTCTGACCTTCCAAAAAGCAGTACGCTATATTAATCACCAGTTCTTATGGCGGTTTGAGATGAATGGGCTAAAAAATAACCGGTATGCCTCCAGTATAAATGCCTAACCATTGTATTGCAAATAAGTATTGGGAGAATAACACTGGTCGACAAAATTGAAATTTTTTTTGTCTCATGAAAACTAATTTAAAATTTTGAATAGCGAAGAAATATATAAATTAAAGTTTTATTGCGAAGGCAGAATATCTTTTTTCAACCAAAAAAATAAAAAAATACAAAAATATAAATATAAAAAATTTTTTTGTTTAACTTACAATAGATACTTTGGATTTTCGTGAATATTTGGCTTTTAGTACGTTCCTTTAAAGCCATAAAAAATAATCTGCTAGCATTCCTGGACTCCATTTCCGATGATATCTTTTTGCGATAAAGCAACTATCCTGATGAATTTTTCAACTGGTTTGTCACTCACAGTATCCAAATTTGGCGAGAAAATCCCAAACTGGAGTGCAGCGTATGAATTTTTTTTATAACAAAGCTTTATATGACATTAAAAACTTATTTACTAAAAATTTTTTAATTCTCTGATGTATGCTTTGCCGTGGATGTCTATGATTGGCCGGGCTTCACATACGATCTCTTGCGCTTTGTGTTATCATAATTAATCCAGTTTTAAACGCCAGTGACAATCCGATGCAAAAATTACTTCTTTGGTGGCGTTAAAGCAACGTTTTCGACATGTAGAATCGACGTTCGATGTCTCTTGGCTTTAATTTATGAGGCACCCAATTTCAAAGCTTCTGTATGAATCCTAATGATTTTAATCATCTGGAAACGGTTAATTGCTCAACCCTTAATACTTTTGCAAGTTCTTCTTGCGTCGAGCAATGTCTCCAATTCTTCGTCTTGAAATTTTTTTTGGCTGTCCGGGTCATTCTCCGTTGTTTAAGTCGAAAATGCCACTTTTGAATCGTGCAAAACACTTGTGGCACGTTCGTTCGGCTAAAGCAGGGTCACCATAAACGTCTAGTAAAATACGATGGTTTTCGGTAGCACTTTTCTGATGAAATACAAATACGTATGTTTACTTAACTATAAAGATGTTCTGAAAAGATTAAATTCTTCTTTTTAAGTCAGGTGAAAAAGAACGTGGCTAATAATTCACTAAAGAGCACATTGCTGTACCCTCTTAAGCATCTGCATTAAACACTAAATATTGTATCAGTGTTAATTTATCAAATTTCCTCCGAGTTATGCGGATAAGACCTTAAATAAATAATTTTCTGCATAATCTTAAATATAATAAATTCGAATAAATGATTTTGGTAAATAAAAATTATCACCAAAAATATATTATTTTATCTAAAACCATAGAGATTATTGATTCTCAATTTTCGATTATCAAAATCGTACAAATTCTATGTAAATCTAACAAAATAATAACTTCAGGGTATATTACAATAATTATTTAACACGAAAATCCTTATTTAATAAAATTTTGTAAATATTTATATGTAAGCATATATGTGTATAAGCATGTGATCAAACAACTTGTGCAGATTAAGTGCTGCACTTCAATGCATGACAGTGTGTTACAGCGCATTTAAAATTAAATTAAAATTATTGTATATTAAAAAAACTATTACTATAATATTAAAATATGAAATTCAAATATTGTGAACAAATAAAAACGATATTTAATGTAACTTTTATAATTTTTAAACTAAGTTTTTTGTAAAGCTGTATATAATTAAGCTTATGCAAATTATTCTGCATATTATCCTATATATTAGATTTAAAATGATTGTAATAATTCATTGACAAAAAAAAAATTCAATAAAATTTCCACAAAAAGAAAATTGTGTTTTTTTTAAGGTATTAAAGGTCAATAAAAAAGATTTGTGTCCATTATTTACGAAGTTGATTTTTAAACCTATCTTGAATATGAAATGGTATAATAACTTTGTATGTAAGTAAAGTATGTAAGCAGCACAAGCAGAGGAGATATGCCCACCAACCTTCATACAAATCGGATCAGAATGAAGTGCAGCATGGCCATCTGAGCTGCCTGGGAAGTGAGCATCCATCCATAAGTAGGTTTAACCACTTTGCTGCACTGAATTCCGTCCAGCTATGATCAGGGTTCTGAGGGTAATATAATGAGCAGACTTTGCTGGTATAAGGCATGTCTGAATGTCATTACAGAAAGATTTCCAAGAAATTGCCCTCTTTACGCTCTCTGCGATTTTTTAAACTCAAGAGACTATCATGGAGCTTACCGTCTCCCAGTCTGTAATTATATATCATATTACGTTAAGGCAAACACAGTTTTAAGTCTTTGAAGCTCCTCCTTTTAAGAACACGTGGTTCTGGGCCAATTCTGATCACTGGGAGAGTGCACGACCTAGACAATTAACATGCAGTGATTTAAGGGACACACATCTAGTGTAATGGCCTAAAAAAGGTGATTTTTGGGAATTGGTATTAAAAAAATACTTTATCAATTATTTCAAAATTTTAAGAATATATTTATACATGCTTCAAGAATATACAATAAAATTTTTGAAAAAAAATAGAATATTTTTTAAGTTATAGTCGATCTTCAAAGGCGCGAAAAAAAGGTCCTTCACTGCTGCAGTGATTCCGGCCTTCTCCGTGGATGAAATAAATTGCTATAACACAAAACTATTTGAGATATCGAATTGAAATTTCAATATGTTATTTTTAAAGGTGTAATCTACCGAAATATGGTAAAGAGATAAATTTTTTTGAAATTTTACACCAGGTGTACCCCTTAAGTGCTTCACTGACTCAATGATAAGTGCCACCGTCATGTTGAAACCACAACAATAAAATCTAGTTTTCGGTAAAAGGAATCAGAATATCATTTTCAAAAAAGGATGGTCCAATTACGCCTTCAGCACAAGATCCATACAAAACAGTGCCAAGTTGTGGCTGCATTTGTTTTTCGACAATCACATGTGGGTCCTCAGAACCCCAAATGGAGCAAATTTAGCAACTAAAACTCCATTAAGGTGACAATATGCCTCATCACTTATGATGATTTTGCTTTATTGTTCATCATCCTTTAGTTGATGCTCAGTAATTCATGCAATAAACTCTCTTCGCTGCGCATGGTTGTTGTTGTATTAGTTAAGTTTTCTAAGCATTGAGAGGAGATATATTGTATTTTTAGAGAGTACACGCTGTAGAGAGCGTTTTGAAATTTGCAATTCTTCTCCACGGAGCGGAATTTTGAACTACCGTTTGGTGTCCTTAACGGATCTTATCTCCCGAAATTTTTCAATTAATCTCTTCATAGTTGCCGAATTTAAAACACAATTTTGACCATATTTTTATGCAACTGGAAATGCGGTCGCCAAGCTTTGGCTCGAGGATTCCATAGGATCAGTATCCTTAGCTTCACTCATTTCACTATCGGAAGTTAGATGATGTTTATGTTGTGATTATTGTAGAGGCGGTTAGATGTGTCGGTTTTAGCATGTAGAAGGTGGGCTGGTTGGGGGCCGCAGTAGCTGAGTGGCTAGCATTGCGTACTGCCATTCGAAAGGCTCGGGTTCAAATTAAGCAAAAAATTCTAATTGCGGTCACCCCTCGACAGGGAATGTCAACCTCTCCGAGCATACTTTTGACATGTAATAAAGCTTCCCATTAAAAACCAGCAGCCGTTCGGAGGCGGCTTGGTATAAACTGTAGGTCCCTCCATTTTGTTCTATAAACATCAATACGCAAAATCACAAATTTGAGCAAGAGCTCGGCGGAAAATCGCTTCAGCAGTTACAAAGCAACAATTATATATATATATATATATATATATATATAAATGTGGGTAGCATCGTGCGGGTACTCGTGACATGCTGGGTATCCGGGTCGCATCTGGATAGAT